TCAGGGCCTTTTCTGCTCCTCACCCCACCCCACCAGCGAGCAGGCTGGGGGGGCACAAGGAGCTGGGAGGGGACACAGCCGGGACAGCTGACCCCAACTGACCCAAGGGATATTCCACACCACATGACGTCATGCTCAGCATATAAAGCTGGGGGAAGAGGAAGGAAGGGGGGATGTTCGGAGTGATGGCGTTTGTCTTCCCAAGACACCGTTAGGCGTGATGGAGCCCTGCTTTCCTGGAGATGGCTGAACACCTGCCTGCCCATGGGAAGCAGTGAATGGATTCCTTGGTTTGCTTTGCTTGCGTGCGCGGCTTTTGCTTTGCCTGTTAAACTGCCTTTATCTCAACCCACGAGTTTTCTCGCTTTTACCCTTCCGATTCTCTTCCCCCCGGCCCCGCCGCGGAGGCAGTGAGCGAGCGGCTGTGTGGTGCTTAGCTGCCGGCTGGGGTTAAACCATGACACCCACAAAACCAGCACCCTCACAGGGATGCCACTGTCCCCACCAAGCTGGCAACCTCGTAGGGATACAACTGTCCCTGCCAAACCAGCATGCTCACATGCATGCCACCGTCCCTCCAAGCCGGCATCCTCATGGGGATGCCACCGTGCCCACTGATCCAGCATCCTTGCAGGGATGCAGCCGTCCCTGCTGAGCCAGCATCCTCATGGCGATGCCACCATCCCCACCAAACCAGCATCTTCACGGAGATGCCACTCCCCTGGTGAGTCACCTCGGGCTTTCCCTCCCCAGCTGGTGGCCGGCAGCGTGGTGTTGGCATTCGGGGAGGTCTGCCCGGAGCGCATCGACCTCATCCACAAGAACTACCGCAAGCTCTGCAACCTGCTCATCGACGTGGAGGAGTGGGGGCAGGCGGTCATCATCAACATGCTGACCCGCTACGCACGCACCCAGTCCCTCAGCCCCAACCGGAACGTGAGTGTGGGAGCCTTGGGGTGCCAGGGAGCCTCGGGGTGCCCTGGGAGCCGGTTCGGGCGTGGGGGGAGGGGGGTGTGAGGGGATGCAAGGTGGCCCACCTACCGGCAGGAGTCCCTGCTGGAGGAGAGCGCCGAGAAGGCTTTCTACGGCTCCGAGGAGGAGGACGCCAAGGACGCCAAGGCGGAGGCAGCCTCGCTGGCCAAGCGCAAACCCTACGTCATGGACCCCGACCACCGCCTGCTCCTGCGCAACACCAAGCCCCTGCTGCAGAGCCGCAATGCTGCGGTGAGCCCCCTGCCCCAGCCCTGTCCATCCCCGGAGGCCACGGGTGGTGTCCAGCAGCCTGGGCTCGTGATGTCTCCACTGGCCAAGGAGCCAGCGGCGTGCTTGAGGGACACCCAGGGCTGGGCTTCCTCCAGGTGCTGCCGGGTGGGACTCTGGGAGACACAGCCATCTCCCATGCTCCCCAGGTGACACTCGGGTGTCTCCCCGCAGGTGGTGATGGCCGTGGCGCAGCTCTACTTCCACCTGGCACCCAAGGCGGAGGTTGGCACCATCGCCAAGGTGCTGGTGCAGCTCCCGCGGAATCACAGGTCTGTGGCACCCGGGTTGTGGTGGTCCCCTACCCCACTACCATGGCTGGTGGGACCCCTGGGGAGCCTCAAGACCCTGGGAGAGACCCCCAGGAAGACCATCCCAGCAGGCTCCTGGCAGGATCTGTGACCCCGTGGAGAGGAGCTCACACTAGAGCAGTTTGTGAAGAACTGCAGCCCGTGGGAAGAACCCACGTTGGAGAAATAGGTGGAGGAGGGGAAGAGAGCGAGGAGGAAGGAGCAGCAGAGACAACGCGTGATGAACTGACCATAACCCCCGTTCCCCGTCCCCCTGCACCGCTCGGGGGGGAGGAGGTGGAGAAATCGTGAGTGAAGTTGGGCCCGGGAAGAAGGGCAGCGTGGGGGGAAGGTGTTTTCAGATTTGTTCTTATTTCTCATTATCCTACTCTGACTTGATTGGCAATAAATGAAATTAATTTCCCCGAGTCGAGTCTGTTTTGCCCGTGACGGTAATTGCTGAGTGATCTCCCTTACCTTATCTTGACCCACGAGCGTTGCGTCGGATTGTTCTCCCCCTGTCCAGTTGCGGAGGAGGAGTGATAGAGCGGCTGGGTGGGTGCCTGGCAGCCTGAGTAGGACCCAGCTTCTGGTTTTTGCTCCTTTCCCCTTAGAAGCCACGGGGACATTTCCCCCTTACTGGAGAATCAAACTTGCCCTCTTGTGGGCGTGAGCCCTCCCAGAAACTTTCCCATGAGTGTGGGAACTGCAAAAGTCTCTGAAAGCAAGCTCGGAGAGAGACCTGAAGCAGCTCTAAAGAATCCCAGTGGAGGAATATTTTCACAGGATCACGGAATGGTTGAGGTTGGAGGCACCTCTGGAGGTCATCTGGTCCAACCTCAAGCTAGAGCTCCTTGCCCAGGACCATGTCCAGATGACTTTTGAATACCTCCAAGGATGGAGGCTCCAGAACATCCCTGGGTGACCTGTGCCAGGGGTCGGTCACAGTCACAGTGAAAAAACTCTTTCCTGGTGTTCAGAGGGAACCTCCTGTGTTTCCGTTCATACCCATTGCCTCTGGTCCTGGCACTGAGCACCACTGAGAAGAACCTGGCTCCATTGCCTTTACTCCCCCCATCAGGCATTGGTACACACTGATAAGATCTGGGGCCCCCCTGTGGGGTGGGGGGGGGGTCGTCCTCAGGGGGACGCGGCAGCCGCCACCCGTCACACCATCTGGCTGCTCCTCTGCAATGCGGGGGTGGGTGGGCTGCAGGTGGCCCGGAAAGTGGGGGACAGTCCCCCGATGCCCGGCCCTGCCCTTCCCGCCCCGTGCGGCTGGGTCCCCCACCAGCTCTGGCAGCTGGAGCCCAGCCCTCCTGGGGACCCCAAAGGCCTCCCGGGGACCCAACCCTTCTCAGGACACCGCAGTCCTCCCATGGACCCGCAAGCCCCTGGGGACCCCAGCCCTCCTTGAGGACCCCAGCCCTCCTGGGGAAACCGCAGTCCTCTGGTGACCTGTCCCTTCTGGGGACCCCACAGCCCTCCCAGTTACCCCGGCCCTCTTGGGGACCCCAGCCCTCCCGAAGACCCCAGCCTTCCTAAAGACCCCAGCCCTCCTGGGGACCCCACAGCCCTCATGGGAACCCCACCCCTCCGGCAGACACCAGCCCTCTTTGGGCACGCCACAGCCCTCCCAGGGACCCCACAGCCCTGCTGGGGCGGGCTGACACTGGGGATACTCACGGCCCCACCACCGCAGCTGCCGCCTTCATTTGGGGAGGGTGTGCTCTGCCCTGTCAACTGGACCAGTAATGAAGATGTTGGCCGGGACTGGACCCAGGATTGACCCCCGGGGTATACCTCCGGTGACTGGCCTCCAACCAGACCTGGTCCAGCTGTTCAGCCAGTTTTCAACCCAGCAACCCAGGGAATATTTATTTTGATGCTCAAAACCAAATGCCGTTAACGAAAGAGGCATCCGTTTGTCTCAGGAGGCCACAGGGAGTGAAGAGCGCTTCCCCCTTCGAGATGTGCCAAGGCAGGACATCGCTCACAGGCAGCTTCAGGGAAAAGGAAAGCAAAAGCAAAAAAAGCACAAATCAAACAGGTTTAGCACAGACTCTCCATGCAACCATTTATTGCCAGGCAGGAGGGATGCCAAAGCCACCAGCACAACGCTGGTCCCCTGGGGAGGGATGTTCCAGCCCCGCACATCCCCCAGGCGCATCGCCGCCTCCATCACTGCAGCGCTGGGGACACCTGGGAGAGAAGATGGGCTGTGGTGACGCTCGGCTGGAGCAGGCGTTGGGGTCCCCCGGGGTGGTGGCACCCACCATGGTGCCAGCGAGCTGGCCCAGCCCCAGCAGGGTGAGGGCGAAGTGGATGCAGTTGCAGGTGACAGCGTCGTACTCCACCGCCTGGTCCATGGCCACCCGGATCCGCCGCTGCAGGGCGGCTGCATCCAGCCCTCCCTTCCTCCGCAGCACCTTGGCCGGACCCCGCGTCCGCAGGAGGTGGTTCTTGCCGTGCTTGGCCACGATCCCCGATGGGGATGTCCCCGAGCTGCCTGTGGAGCAGAGGGTACGCTGTACCCCATGTCCCTTCCACGGGGACATCCCCATGCTGTGACCACCTCCTGGGGCTCACCTTCCAGGTGGATGATCTCCCCGTCACCGCAGTAGATGCCGGCGTGGGCGCCCCACCAGCCAGGGCCCCCCGAGGCCAGCGGGAAGAGGAAGAGGTCCCCGGGCTGGGGCTCGGCCACCCCATCGGGGACCACGTCAAAGTGCTGGCCCAGCAGCCCCTCGCAGAGGAAGAACGCTGCCGTGCTCGCCACCCCAGCCACCGCCTGGGGACCCATCCGTGTTTCAGGGCCACCGGTGCCCCAAGGACAGCGGCAGCATCCCCAACCCACTGGCTCATCCCCCATCCCTGGTGGCTTGGGCACAGCTTGGGTCTCCATGGATGGGGAAACCCTCCGAGAAGGGGCCATTTCCTCTAGGAGCTGAGGAAAAGGCAGGGCTTGCAGGATTTGGCCCTGTTGAGCCAGGGGTGAGATGGGTGGTGCTGGGCGCAGAGGGGATGCTGGCACTTACCTGCCTGGAGCTGCCCACCTGGAGGGACAAACACCCGGCGTCAGCCCCGGTGGCGCTGGGGAGATGGGACCCAGGGCACCAGTGCCATGGTGCAGCCCCTGCCCCCACCACTGCCATCCCCCTGCCCGAGCCCCTGGCCGGGGTCCCCGTGCCAGCACCCCCAAAACCTGTCGCACCCAGGAGCCCAGCCAGTGCCGGGCCTGGAGGAACGGCCCATCCGGGGCTTGCAGGGTCTGCACCAGGGTGCTCACCTGTGGGGAGAGGGGGCAGAGCGAGCCGGGGAGCCAGCCTCTGCTAGCACCCATCCCCTGCTGGCACCCACCTCTGCTGGCACACATCCCTGCTAGCACCCACCCCTGGTAGCACCCAGCCCCAGCCCAGAGCAGCCTCCCAGGAACCCCCATCCCCTCTGCATCCCCAGACTCAGCACCGGGCAGGTCCCAGCCACGGGGTCTGTGGGCGCCACAGCAGAGGAGTGGGACCTCCTGGGTGCGGGTGCCCTCCCTGCCAGCTCCCCCTTTACCTGGGCGAGGAGGTTCATCTGCAAGGAGAAAACATGGTGTCCAGAGAGCTGGGGACATGGGGCCGTGCCCAGCCCCATTTCGGGGACCTCTCTGTCCCCAAACGGTTGTGGTGCCACGTTGCCCTGCCAAAACGCAAGCCGCGGCCTCGGGCACCGCGCCAGCCCTGGCGCTCATGCTGTGCCCAGCTCCCTCACCTTGGGGACGCCTCTGTGGTCCCCTCAATCCACCGTGGTCCCCAAGAAGCTGTTGCTCCTAAAGTGGCTGCCGGGCAGGACCTCAGTGCACCCCAGCGAGCAACGCAGTGGCTCTTGGCACCTGCACATGGCTCCGCCAGTGCCCGGGAATGTGCCCAGACCACACCGACCGGCCCCACCGTGGCACCGAGCCCATCCTGCAGGGCCAGTCCCAGGGGGAGAAACCCTACCTGGTGTGATATTTCATCAGTGAACCCCTTGTGTGGCCCCAAAGGAGTCACAATACGGCCCTGTGGCCACGATGCACCGATAGCCAGTGGCCACCGGGCTGGTGCCAAAACACCTCTTGGTGCCAAAATGCCTCTTGCCCTGAAGGTGGCCCAAGGGACAGCCACCAGCCTGTCCCCAGCCCTGTGTCCCCGGGGCAATGCGTGCCTGGGGTCAGCTCCGGAGCCACATTAAACTTTAATCCTTGTGTCAGGGGGTCTGTGAAGGCTTTGGCAGGGCTTGGGGCAGGTGACGTGGGAGCTGTCACGCTCTGTCATCGGGCAACCTCCACAGCATCATTTGTCATGGAGCCTCCAATAAAGAAGAGCTAATTACAGCTGAAACCGGAGCCTGGCCTGGACACGGCTCAGCGCTGGGTGGCCGCGTTAACCCTTCCCAGCCACCTCCGGTCCCACAGCCATCTTGTACCCTCCCAGACTTTCGTGTCTTCTTCTGGTTGCTCTTCTCCCCTCCTGATCTCCACCATCCTCTTCTGGTCCCCATTGTCCTGTTCTGATGTACCCTCCGGTTCTTGCCACCCGCTTCTGGTCCCTAGTGTCCCCTCCCAGTATCCACCATCCCCTCCTGGTCCCTGCTGTCACCTCCTACTCTCCACCATCCATCATTGTCTCCTGGTCACCATCAAGACATCCAGGTTCCCATTGTCCCCTCCTGATCCTCATCATCCCTCCCAGTCCCCATCACCTCCTCCTGGTCCCCGTCATCACCTCCTGGTCAGCACCATCTCCTCTTACTCCCCTTCATCCCCTCCTGGTTCCAAATCATCCCATCCTTGTCCCCATCACCTCCACGTTCCACATCATTCCATCCTAGTCTCCACCATCTCTTCCTGGTCCCAATCACCCCCTCCTGATCCTTGTTGTCCCCTCCTGGTCCCCGTCATCTCCTCTTCATCTCCATCGGCTCCTCCTGGTCTCCATCATCCCCTCCTGGTCCCCACCATCTCCCCTCAGTGCCCAACGTCTCCTCCTCATCCCTACCATCCCCTCCTGATCCTTGTTGTCCCCTCTTGGTGCCCACCATCTCTCCTTGGTCCCCATCATCTGCTCCTGGTCCTCACCATCTCCCCTTGATCCCTGTTGTCTCCTCCTGGTCCCCATCACCTCCTCCTTGTCCCCACTGTCCCCTCCCCTTCCCCACCACCCCATGCCATCACCAGCAGGAGCAGGGCTGCCAGCACAGCAGTGCCTCCCTGCATCACCCGATGTCCCCAACTGAGCTGTCCCCTGGCCAGGGCGCATCTGCCAGTTCCCCACCGCCGGTGGGATTAGGGCGGCTGGAGCCTTGGGGCTGCTCCTGACCACAGGTTTCAAGCCCATCGCCAGCATCTTTGGGTAATTAGTAAATTAGTAATTAAATGCTCTCTGCCTGCTGGGGGGGGGAAGGGGGGCAGATCCCGAGGTTTTAGGCTCAGTAATCCCGTGGCATCTGCCCCAGCGTCTGTCACCAAGCCGAGTCACGACCCTGCCGCGGGCTTTAACGTTTGCTTCTTCACCCCCACCCCGCTGCCTGCAGCCCCTCAGCTGTGGCGTTGGGTCTGCTCGGGCCGCTCCCCGAAAATGGGCTGGGTCGAGCCCCCCCGGTGCCTGGGTTTGGTGCTCATTGGATGCTCGGCCCAGGGAGGGGGACAGGGTGTTGCTCCATGGGGACCCCACCTTGGGGACAGCACCCAGCCGGGTGTGATGGAGAAACAGAGTGAGAAACCATATTTTTGTAATTATTGGCTTTCCTGGCCTTGCTGATGATTGGCTGGCAGCAGATGGTTGGCCCGGCTAATCCCCCTCCCAAATCCCTGCTCCGGAGCTGGCTTTTACCCAACGGCGAGGAGGGGACGGGCAAGTTAGCCGACTCAGCATGTATCGCCATGCTGGCCGCTCCCCGACGTCCCCTGGCACCGGGCACCCGGGTCCCCGTGTCACCCGTGGGTGGGCTGGCATCCTGGGGTGTGGGTGCTCCCGGCACCCCCGGATCGGGCACCGGGGGTTGTTTCACCCATGGGTGAAGCTCTGCTGAAGGGTCTGGAGGCACCTAAGCCGCGGACAAGGGACGGGCAGGGCGAGGTGACAGCTTGCTCCTGCCGCATTAACCCAACGTCATAATTCTGCAGAGGGAGGAGGGCGGCCGCTGCTGCAGATGGTGGCTGTCAGAGATCTGGGTCAGGGTGGGGGCCCGCCCGCAGGATGGGGGGCTCCGGGGGGGGGCGGAGCACCCCGGGGGGACAGGGGTCCCGGGGGTGGAGGGGTGCTGCAGGCAGAGGTGATGGAGCCATGCAGCAGGCAGGATAATGGAGCAATGCTGCAGGCAGGGGAGGTTGAACGATGCTGCAGGCAAGGATGATGGAGCCATGCTACAGGCGGGCAGGATGGTGGAGATATGCTGCAGGCAGGGGAAGTTGGAGCAATGCTGCGGTCAGGTTGATGGAGCCACGCTGCAGGCAGGGGGGATGGAGCGATGCTGCAGGCAGGGGAGCACGGAGCAATGGTGCAGGCAGCGGGGATGAAGCAATGCTGCAGGCAGAGGAGGATGGAGCAATGCTGCGGCCAGCGGGGATGGAGCCATGCAGCAGGCAGGATGATGGCACCATGCAGCAGGCAGGGACGATGGGGGGGGGGGCGCCCAGGGCCCTGATCTACCTGTG